AAAGGACATGAACAGACACTTACAAAAGAAGACACTTATGTGGCCCAAAAACATGAAAAAAACTCAACATCACTGATCATTAGAGAAATGCAAATCAAAACCACAATGAGATACCCTCAGACAAGTCAGAATGGTGATTATTAAAATGTCCAGAAACAACAGATGCTGGCGAGGTTGTGGAGAAATACAAATGCTTTTACACTGTTGGTGGGAATGTAAATTAGTTCAACCATTATGGAAGCCTGTGGTGGTTCCTCTAAGACCTAGAACCAGAAATACCATTTGACCCAGCAATCTCATTACTGGGTATATGCCCAAAGGAATTGAAACCACTTGATTATGAAGATTCATTTATGTGTACGTTCATTGCAGCACTATTTACAATAGTAAAGACACAGAATCAACCCAAATGTCCATCAGTGATAGACTGAATTAAAAAATCTGGTATATCTACATTATGAAATACTATGCAGCCATAAAAAGAAATGAGATCATGTCCTTTGCTGGGACATGGATGGAGCCATCATCTTCAGCAGGGTGATGAACAGGAACAGAAAACCAAATACCGAATATTTTCACTTGTAAGTGGGAGCTGCACAATGAGAACACATGGACACAGGAAGGCGAACAACAAACAGTGGGGTCTGTCAGAGGAGGGGTCAGGGGAAGGGAGAGCATCAGGAAGAATGGCTAATGCATGCTGGGCTTAATACCTAAGTTATGGGCTGATAAGTGCAGCAAACCAACATTGCACACATTTACCTATATAACAAACCTATACATCCTACACATGTATCCTGGAACTTAAAATACAGATTAATGTGAGTAAAATGCTTAGCACAGTGTTTGGCATGTTAGAAATGCTTGATAAATATTATTATTTTTATCATTAACATGCAAAATACTTTATAATAACTGCATTCTAGCTCAGGAGTGCTGTGAAAATTATTTATAAGAATGGGCTGATGTTATTTAACATGGGACCTATAAAAAAGAGCAGAACTTCACTTCTCTAATCTACCTAAATACTCACACAGAAGAGCTAAAACATTTGAACATGAGCTAGCTGGGAGTTGAGATGGTGAATCATTCTCCCCAATGATCTGTAGTGATAGCTAAGAACCACCTCTAAAGCCTGGAGGCCTAGGTTACTTACAAAATAGGTGGGGAGACCCTGTACTCAGAAAGAGAGGATGGTTCCCCACCAGGGTAGAGGGTTTAACACCTGGACCCAGGAGTCACAGCAGTTTATCCATCATGACTACAGCCAGATTCCCTGCTTGTAAACTGAGCAAAGGCTTTAAGTCATTCTTTCAACAAGTATTTAGTAAGCACTTACTATTTTCCAGTGGGAATATGATAGTTACCTCAAACTCCTGGGCCCAGTCTTCATGGAGCTCACAGTCTAGGGGTTCATCCTTGGAAAACCCCAAGTTAAGCAAGAGCAGTCAGAGTTTCCTATCCTCTTCCCTTTAAAATAACTTTTTACCTCCAGGGAAATGATCTTTTTACAAAAGTATGCCCCAAGTCTCTGGCTTTGTCTTTAGTTTGTATTTAAATAAACTTGGAGAAAGATCTATCATGGAATAAAAAATAAGAAAAATTAACAGGCTGTTGAAGTGGAAACCCTCAAAGGAGGTTGTTTCAATGAGACTTCCCTTTCTGATAAAACATTGAGACTGCCTAAACTGAATCCCATCAGTCCTCTGTCCTCTGCTAGCCCTTTGCCTTAGTCCACTTGGACTGCTATAATAAGAATGTGGCTTATAAACAATAGAAATTTATTGCTCACAGTTCTGGAGGCTGGGAAGTCCAAAATTAAGCCGCCTGAAGCTGCTGTGTCTGGTGAGGGCATGCTTTCTGCTTCATAGATCACACCTTCTAACTATGTCCCGACAGGGTGGAGGGGTCTAGCTTTCTGGGTTCTCTTAAAAAGGCACTAATTTCATTCACAAGGATGGAGCCTCATCACCTAAACCCCCTCCCAGAGACCCTCATCTTGTAATACTGTCACATTGGGGTTCAAGTTTCAACTTAACGAATTTTGGGGGAACATAAACATTCAGATCATATCATCATTCATTCCCCACATTCTCTGCAACTTCTTCCCTAGCTCATTTCCAACTGCTCTACTGTCCCTGACTACCTGTGACAGTTAATTTCAGCTGTCAATTTGACTGGACTAAAGGATACACAGATAGCTGATAAAACATTAATTCTGGGTGTGTCTGTGAGAGGGTTTCTGAAAGAAAGTAGCATTTGGTTCGGTAGACTGAGTAAAGCAGATCACCCCCACCAATGTGAGTGGGCATCCCGCAATCCATTGAGGACCTAAATATTAATAGAAGAAAAAGGCAAAAGAGGGGCAAATTCACTGTCTCTGTTGGAGCTGAAACATCCGTCTTATCCTACCCTCAGATATCAGAAATGCTGGTTGTCAGGCCTTTGGACTTAAACTGAATTATACCACTGGATTTTCTTATTCTCCATCTTGCAGACAGCAGATCATGGTACTTAGCCTCCATAATCACATGGGTAAATTCCTGTAAATAATAAACCTCTGTGTGTGTGTGTGTTTTTGGAGGACCCTGACTAAAACATTACTCAAGACTGCCTTTTCTTCATCAGATGTGTTGATGCAGGTAGGATGAAGTGTCAGCAAACCAGCATATTCTAATTTACTGTTTCATTTTAAAAAGCAAAACCAAATAATCACGTCAAGAAACTCTCCTTGACCCTCTGCATTTCTGTCTTATTTCTTGTTTCATTTGCAATCAAAATTCTCAGAGTTGTCTACATACTCTGCCTCCAGTTTTGCATGACTCATTCGCCCTTCAACCTCCTCCAGCTCCACCCACGACATTGGCTGAAGCCATAAATTACCTTCAGATAATCAAATAAAATCATGTGGTATATTACTTTTTAATGAAATATAATGAGCACATAGAAAAGTACAAAAAGTGTAAGCATATAGATTGATGATGTTTTTGAAGGTGGTCACATCCACTGAACCATCACTAAGGCCAAGAAGTAGGAGTGTGTGTCTTAAGAAAACATAACATGAGATTTGTTATTTTAACATATTTTAAAGTGTGCAGTACTGTACTGTTAACTATAGGAACTATATTCTACAGCAGATAATAAATTCTGGAGAACTTAGAATTCTTTTAGAATTTCACTGTTTATTGCTGGTGTACAAAATTAAAATTATTTTTATGTATTAACTTTTCATCACCCATATTCCTAAATTCACCTATTAATTCCAATAAGCATTAATTATCTGAAGGTTTTATTTTGTTTCCTAGGTATGCAATAATTTTATATGTAAATAATTTGTTTTATTTCATAATTTCTAATCTTTAACACCTTTTATATTTTTACCTTGCCTTTTGTACTGTCCAGTAGTACCGTGAATAAAATTTTAAATAAATGTAGCAATAGCAGAAATTCTTGTCTTATTCTCATTCTCAAGGAAAGCATTTTTAATAACTATAATATTTGCTTTGTAATTTTTGTAGACATAGTTTATCAGACTTAAAAGTTGTCTCCTATTCATAGTTCCCTGATACTTTCTTGTTGCTAATAATTTTTCATCATAAATGTTAAACTCTATTTTTTTTGTACTCATTAAAATGATCATTTTTCTACCCTTTTGTCTCTTAATATGGTTGATTGATGTTTTTAAATGTTAAACCAACCTCATATTCCTAGAACAAACCCAACTTGGTGGTCATATATTATTGTTTGCTACATTTTATTTGTTAATATATTGTTTAGGACTTTTTGCATTTATGTTCATGAGACAAATGGAACTGTAATTTACCCTTCTTACCAGGCTTTGGCATTCAGGTCATCCCACCCTCATTATGCTTGTTGAGAAATGTCTCCCAAAACTCCTAATTTTAATTTATTTATTTATTCACTTAGAGACAGAGTCTCACTCTGTCACACAGCCTGGAGTGTAGTGGTGTGATCATGGCTCCCTGCAACCTCAATCTCCCTGGCCCAAGTGATCCTCCCACCTTAGCGTCCTGAGTAGCTGGGACCACAGGCACATGCCACCGTCCTGGCTAATTTTCTTTCTTTTTCTCCCCTCTCCTCCCCTCCCTTCCTCTCCCGTCCCCTCCCCTGACCTTCCCTTCCTTTCCTCCCCTTCTCTATTCTCCCCTTTCCTTTTCCCTCCTCCCCTCCCTTTACCCTCCCCTTCTTCTTCTCTCTCTCCTCTTTCTCTCTCTTTCCATTTCTCTTTCCCTCCCTCCCTCCCTCTCTTTTCTTTTCTTTTCTTTCTTTCTTTCTCTTTTTCTTTCTCTTTCTTTCTTTCTTTCCCTCCCTCCCTCCCTCCCTCCCTCCCTCCCTCCCTCCCTCCCTCCCTCCCTCCCTTCCTTCCTTCCTTCTTTCTTTCTTCCTTTCTTCCTTTCTTTCTTTCTTTCTTCTTTCTTCTTTCCAGGGTCTCATTATGTTACCCAGACTGGTCTGAAACTCCTGAGCTCAAGCGATCTTCCACCTTGCCTCCCAAAGTGCTGGCATTACAGTCATGAGTTACTGTGCCCAGGCACCCTGATTAAAAAAAAAAAATCCAGAAGAATTTGTGTAAGATACTTTGGAATAGCTTACCAGTGATACTATAGGAACTTGAAGTTTTCTCAGGAGGTTTTAACCAAGGATTTAATTTCTTTAAAAGATAGTACTCTTCATATCATTAGTCAATGGTGAAACACAGGATGTAATGACTTTATCAGGTTAAAGTTTAGAAGTTCACTCTGGCCTCACAGCAGAGGATAGATTGAAGGCAGACAATATTGGACAGAGGCCAGTGAGGAAACTGACAATAGTTGCTTGTTGACATCAGTACTAGGCAGTGGCAGAGAGTTGAAGAAGTGGGAACAGGTGAAAATAAATACAAATTTTTTAGGGAAATGACTTATAAAAGGCAGTATGATAAGTATGGTCTATTTGAAAAGTCTGAGTTTACTGTGTGTTTTCTCTCCTTTTATAAGCAGAATCAGAGAGCTGGTACCATTTCAGTAGGTCCTTGGGCTGCCTGAAAATTATGACGCTGGAGCATCATTTACTCAAAATGCTCATCCAAAAACAGGACATCAAAACTAGTCACTCTTCGCCTTATGGAAACGAATACCCCAAGGTAATATGGTATTATTATTATTATTTCTGATTGGCATATAGCTCTGGTGAGGGTGGATTTTTACACTCATGCTATATCCTTCCTGTCATTCTTTTCCCCTCTGTAGATTTCCTCTGGACACTTTCCACACATTCTCATCTGGCCCCTGCTCTTGAGCAAGTTGAATTAGGAGGTGGTACCTGGCAGTTCCTCCTCTAATTATCCAGGGAAGACAGAAAAAGAGGAAAACAGGAGTTGAGAGGTAAAGCTTAGAACAGAGAGATAACCATTAGCTAGAAAGGCCGAATAGTAGGAGAAAAGATAGCACAGGAGGCAAGGAGAGCATGGTGAGCCATGGAAGGGGTGAGGGAAAGAGACTGAAGACTCAACTCCACCAGTGTGGGATCATCTTTGGATGTGGACTCTGTTGTGTCTTGGGTTCAGGTTATTTAAGAAGCCTAGTGAGCCAGATGGTCCCCTCCTTAGCGTCTGGTTTTGTGAGGTTGTAACTTGGCCTTTCAGTTCCCTAATAGTTCACATTATCTCCTCTTCCTCCTAGGCCTTTTTATCACTTCTTACCATTTTATCTCCCAATTGGTTGATATTGACTTCTTATTAAATAAAATGTGGTCTTTGCTCTTAAGTTAAAATTCTGATGGGGAAAGAATGTATACACAAAGAATATCACAACTATTTATGTTAATTAAAGGAAATACAGACCAAGGGCACTGAGTTCAGGCAGTTGAGATATTCCGGAGAAGGGAGTTTCCTTAGGATATTGCCTCATGGACTCACATGCTCACTGTGGTAGAGAAACACCTGGAGACTTTTCTTTCATGTAATACTTAGAGGCAAAGTTACTGTAATCAAGAATATGCTGTTAAGAAGGCCTGGTTTTAACACTGTCATTGGTGAGCATTTGTAACATATAAAGCAGACCTTGGGTTTTCAAGACAGTTTATCTGCTAATTGTCAAGAGAATAGAGCTGAGGTTGCAATGTGTCAGCAAGAATGTCAAGGAGGAAGTCAGAGGGTCAAATCAGCTGGGCTTGGCCTGTTTGCCGTAGGTGGTGTTCTTAGAGATTCAGTGGTTCATTCTGTTTGGCGACTTAAAGAGCCATTTAGGTTCAGAACTAAAAATGTGTGGGCATGGGCCAGGAAGAAGGCAGTGAATGACTGGGATCAACATGCCAGTGTCTCCCAGGTGCACTGGTTCAGATAGCTGGAAGTCTCTCTCATACGCATCCACTCCCATAAGCAGCTCTTGGCAAGATTGGGGAAAAAAAGGGCTTCTCACTTGTGTTTTTTAACTGTCACTTTGCTTAAGAATCACATGGTGCTTGTCAAAGTGCATATTCCTGGGCCCTACTCCCAGACATGTACCCGTTACTTTCTGGGGCTGGGCCCAGAGGTCAGCATTTATTTTTATAGGCACACCAGGTATTCCAGAATAAGATGCTCTGTGGACCACATTTTCAGAAATGCTGCCTTAAAGTCTTCCATGTCTCCCAGCTGTCTAATCACTGTATGAGGGGCCATAATTTAATCTATTTCCAAAGAAAGGGGTCTGGAAGTCGTTTTTCTCCTCCTACATTCCATCTGTCATCTCCTTCTGCCACTCTGTTCTAACATTTCCTTGACGTTTGGGCCCTCTCCTCAAGCTTCTCATCCAAAAGCACTGTGTAAGCTGGATGCATTGCACACAAGAGCTTCTGTAGTTGCGACTGCTTAAGTTAAACCAGCCTCCTCGAGGGTGTCCAGCAGAGAGGTGCACCTGAGGGATTAGGGCAACAACCTAGCTCCGGCCTCAGTTACTGCAGAACTCGATTTGCCAGAGGTGCCAACGTGAAGACCAAAGGTTGAGTTTTACACAAGGTTTCCTTTTTGTTTCTTTAAAACTTGGACTTTTTGTCAGCATTTTTAAATGGGGGGAATTTCTCATAAACATCCAAATTTCTGACTGCTCTTAGAATATCAGATCTGGCCAGTTTGGCCAGTTTCCCTACGGGCAACAGTCAGCTGGTTGAGGAGAGGCTGCCTTCTTGAGACACTGTACCAACCCCACCAAGCAGAGGTGCATATTTTCTGAAGATAAGGAAGCTAACACGTTAAGGCCTGCTCTTTCATGGACCTTGACCCAATTCTGTATTTGCAATTCTATGTTGTTTTCTTTAAGAGGCCTCCACAATTGTATATATTTCCGATTCCAGGAAACCTGGATCTGCTCCTGCAGCTCTGCTCTATGGACTCCCCACACTGAGGTCAAGAGCAGCTGCCATTCATTGTAAGACTTGCCAGTGGATTTTCTTTAAGTAGAGAAACATTTCTCTGAACTCATGGGTCTATAGAAACAAACGAAGAAGGCCTCGGATTTCAGGAAGGAGGGGAGAGAGCCTGTCTCTTTGTGGATGTGATCTGGCCTGCATCCCTGGCCTTTGATGTCATGACCTCTGGCTGCATCGAGGTCTCCATCTACAATTCATGATTCCTTAAATTCTATGGAGTTGGAACAGCCTTTTTGTACATAGACCTGCTTGCTTTCTTCTCCATTTCTTAAAAGACATATTTAAATCCCATCTATTTAATCCTCACTTGGTAAAATGAGGCTAGGAATCACCATGGTGAAGAAAAAGAAAAAGTAGAGTCTGCCCATAGAAAGAGAATGAGATCTTGCTCTTTTGGAATGGAATGTCCTATGGGAAAGGACTGGATCGTTTCTGTAATTTTTAATGCAAATGTTTGCAGGCATGGCTAAATGCTCCCTAAGAACTCAATAGATATTCACTGATGATAAGACATGTATAAAATAGATTAAAACATGTCCTTCAGTTACCTTCTAGGGTATTTTTTAATGTATTGGTTGCTGCTTGAACAGATATTTCTATCCCACCATTTTAGGGCTCTGTGAAAATACAAATATTTTTGTTGTAACAACATGTTGTGATATTGCAAATTCAGTTACTGCCTTTTTCCCTCCCAAGATAGTTTGATATTTCTTGTCTTGTTCACAATGCTGTTTTAAAGTCTCATTTTTTACTCTTGAGATTGTTAAGGACTTGGTGGTGTTTTCTGTGAATATATTTATTACTCAGGCGCCATGTCTCTGCTTCTTGTCTGGAAAGGAGGAAAACTGGCATACATTATAGATCATCTGGCAGGGAGTCTTCCCGAATGATTTATTTGAAGCTTATTTTAACATTCTCCATTTGTACAGACAGTTAGTCTTCTCTTCTTTCTAGATAATGTCTTATTAAAAGGAAACACCTGTTTAAACATGTAAAAATAAGACTAAATGTAAACAAAAGGAGTTTTTGGTAAATGTGGCATTTGCCATATCTAGTTTCTAATTTTTCCTGTGTGGAAGTAGGCTGGGGGATGTGATTTATTACTCTGGGTAAGACCCATTAGCTACTTTTTCTGCAAAATAGTGGGGTGTCCACCAGGCCAGTGTGGTCTGTGGGTCATGACTGTAGCACTAGGAAGAGGTTGATTATTTTAATGATATCATTAATAACATGAGCCTAATTTTTCAGTAGTTTTACACTAGTTGCCTACATAAATGTCAATCTAAATTTATTTTTTCTACTTATTCTGGCCCTCTCTGTGACTGCAGCCCAGTTTTGAATCATTTCTAGTCCTAAGATAGTATTAAGATGATTCCAGAAGGCTTGTGCCTTCAGATATCTGAAAGAATCAAACAGAAATCCTGAAAATCATATTACAAAAAAGGAAAACAATATGCCAATTACTCTTAGGAACTTAGATGCAAAAATCCAAAGCAAAATAATAGCACATCTAATCCATCAATGTATACAGCGTAAATATACAATATGACCAAGTTGTAGTTTTCCCAGGAATACAATGTTATTCAGATATTTGCAGATCAATCAGCCACATAATAAAGGAGAAAAAAATAACTATATCAATAGATGCAGCACAAATGTTTGATGAAATTCCACCATGTTAATAATAAACTCTTAGCTAACTAGTAGTAGATAGAAATTTCTTAAATAGAATAAATAGAGTACAAAACAGCATAATAAACAGAGTACTTAATAAGGAAATACTGAAAATGTCTTTCTGAGATTAAAAAAAGAGAGGATGCTTGCTATTACTGCTTTTACACTGCTGTAAATCAAGGAAAAGCAATAAAACATTGGAAAGGGAACAGTAATTACCATTCAGGCACCATTTGCATACTACATGTTTGCATTCATAGAAATCCAAAGCAATCCTTAGATCAACAATTACAATTAGCAAATGGATTTATCAAGGTCATTGCATAAAAGTTCAGTATATAAATTATATTTTTACATACTAACTCAAGCAAATACTGAAAATTTAAACATACCTAAACACAGAGCTAACAAGATAAACCAGAATGCAGCATGGAGAGATAAAAAGGTGAAAAATACAAGGAGAAGATAAAATACATACAGAGTAGAGTTAAAAAGACTGAAGCTATGAGTAATTTTAGTCCTAGAGGGAATGTGACAGAAGCAGCACTAACTGAACAGTTCATGGCTAAGAAATGTCCAATACTGGTGAAAGAAATCAAGACACAAACTAAAAAGTGCAGCAAACTATAAATAAGATAAATAAGAAACCCATACCTATGCATCACAATTAAATGGCTGTAAACAAATAACAAAGAGAAAATCTTAAAAGCAGCCAGGGGGTAGAGTGAAGGAGAAGTGAAGACAAATTACCAAAATTAGAGTGAGCTGACTTTGTATGAAAAATAATGGCAGCCTAAAGATAATGAGAAAATATCTTTAAAGTACTTAAAAAAACTGCCAACCTAAAATTCTATTTTCATCCTCAAAAAAAGCAATTGAAATGAGGACATTTTCAGATGAACAAAAACAGTGGATTTATCACCAGCAAACCTATTCTTATGGAAAGCCAAAGGATATTCTTTAAGCAGAATAAAAATGTTCACAGACAGAAGGTGGGAGACCTAGGAAAAATGAAGAACAATAGAAAGGGAAATGTATGGCTGGGCACAGTGGCTCATGCCTGTAATCCCAGCACTTTGGGAAGCCAAGGCAGGTGAATCATGAGGTAAAGAGATTGAGACCATCCTGGCCAACATGGTGAAACCCTATCTCTACTAAAAAATACAAAAATTAGCTGAACATGGTGGTGCGCCTGTAGTCCCAGCTACTCAGGAGGCTGAGGCAGGAGAATCACTTGAACCCAGGAGGTGGAAGTTGCAGTGAACTGAGATCATGCCACTGCACTCCAGCCTGGGTGAAAGAGCAAGACTCCATCTCAAAAAAAAAAAAAAAGAAAAGCAAATTTGTGAATACATCTACATGAATATTGTCTGTATGAAAAAATAATAAAAGTGTGTTGTAGACACAAGTCAGGAGTTGGGTAAATGGAGTTAAATTCTGTTATAGGCCTTGCGTTGTCCAAGAGAACAGCATCAATAAACATGACAATCTAACCAGTTAAAAATATGTTTTGCAATATCAAGGGCAATTATTAAAAGAATAAACAAGCATTTATTTGTAATTTTGAACCTAATGTTAGAAAACAATGAAATAATAGACATTGAGTCAATCTAAAACAAGTTAAGAAAATCAAGAAAAAGAAACATAAATCAGGTAGCGCAAATAAAAAATATGCAGCAAGATGATAGTCTTAGATATAAATACATCAGTAATTATAATAAATATAAATAGACTAAATGCTTCAATTAAAGAAAAAGCATTTCAGAATGGATTGAACAGATTTTATGAGGTTCGTAAAAGACGCACTGAAAATATAAGAATATAGAAAGGTTGAAATACAAAAATTAAACAAAATGAAGCTAAACACACAGAACATTTACAAAAGTTTACCATATGCTCGTCCCTGAAGAAAATCTCTAGTACCAAAAAATAAAAATTAAACAGAGTATGTTCTCGATCCACAATGCAATTAAGCTAGAAATCAATTACAAAGAGATAGCTACAAAATTTTCATGTACTTGGAAATTAAGCAGTATATTTTTATGTAACTCATGCATCAAAGCAGAAATCATAAAAGAAGTTAGAAAATACTTTGAACAGAAATATTCATCTTAAAACCTGTGGGATACTGGCTCAAACTATGTTTAGAGAGAAATTTATAACTTTAGTTGTGATGGATGTCTGAAATATAAATTTGCTTACTATTTATTTCAAGAAGTTAGTAAATTATATCAAGTCAAAGTAAAAGGAGGGAAATAATAAAGATAAGAGACATTAATGATATGGAAAACAAAAAATAGAGAAAATCAATCAGTCAAATATTGCTTATTTGAAGAAACTAATAAATCTGAGAAACACCTGCTTAGACTGAGCAAGAAAAGGAAAGAGAAGTAAAAAAAAAAAAAAATCAGTGTCAGGAATGAAGAGGGCACATCATTATAGATGCTAAGAATATGAAAATATAATTAATAACTTTATGCCAATATATTTGAAAATTTAGACAAAATTTATAAATTCCTTTAAGAACAGAACAGATATGATACGAGGGGAAATAAACAGTTCTGCAACTAATGAAGATAGTAAATCTGTAAATTAAAAATCTACCTCATTGCAGGGAGCTGAGATTTCACCACCACATTCCAGCCTGAGTGAGAGTCCATCTCAAAAAAAAGAAAAACAAAAACAGTGTACCTCAAAGAAAACTTTGGGCCTTGAGGCCATTAGTACTGAATTCTACCATTCATTTTAGGAAGAAATGGCACTGATGTTATGTGAACTCTTAAAGGGAATAAGACAAGAATAAGCATCTTGTCTAGCATAATTTATAAACCCAGTATAACTTGGATACCAAAATCTATAAAGACATGATGAAAAAGGAAAATTGTACGTCAGTCTTAATCTTTACGTTTTAATTTTTTTAGAGACAGGGTCTCATTCTGTCACTCAGAGTGGAGTGGAGTGGTCTGTTCACAGCCCACAGCAGCCTCAAACTCCTGGGCTCAATCAATCCTCCTGCCTCAGCCTTCCCAGTATCTGGGATACAGGCACATGCCACCATGCCTGAGTAATTTTTAAACCTTTTGTACAGATAGGGACCTGCTTTGTTGCCCAGGATGGTCTCAAGCTCCTGGCTTCAAGCAATGCTCCTGCCTCATCCTCCCAAATTGCTAGGATTACAGATGTGAGTCATCATGCCCATCCTAGGCCAGTCTCATCCTTCAACAAAGACAAATAGACTAATGGAGAAGATAAAACTTCTCAGTGACATATGTAACTGATAAAGGGGTTGATTTTGGACTATACCTAGACTGTCTACAAATCAGTAGGAAAAGACAACCCAGTAGAAATAAGGGCAATTTGATTTTCTCATCCTTCAACAAAGACAAATAGACTAATGGAGAAGATAAAACTTCTCAGTGACATATGTAACTGATAAAGGGGTTGATTTTGGACTATACCTAGACTGTCTACAAATCAGTAGGAAAAGACAACCCAGTAGAAATAAGGGCAATAGATTTGAATGGCTACTTCACAATAGAGGATTTTCAAATGGTCAATAAAAATATGAAGATACCTAAAACTTCATCAATAAGCAGAAGAATAAAAAATTAAATCATGAGATATGACTACACACTTGCCAGAATGGCTAACCAAAAAGACTGATAATACCAAGTTCCAGCGAGGACATGGAAAAAATGGACTGTCAAACACTGGTGTTTGATGAAAGTGTAAATAAGGACAACCATTTTGTAAAACTGGTATTATGTCCTAGCATTTGGCATTATATCCTAAAGTTGAAACATACACTATCTTGTGACTGAGCAATTCTACTCCTGGAAATACCCTGTAGGTGTGCTTGCACATGTGTGCCAAGAGTGTTGCATACAAGAAAGTTTCAGTAGAATTATCAGAATAGTCCCAAACCAAAAGCAGCGCAAGTGTTCACCAATGACAGAGTAGAAAAATAAATTCCTACTGAGGAATCCTTTACATAGCAGGGGCCATGGAATTTGAGCTGGTAAAATAATAAATCTCAAAGTCATTCATTCCATGGTGTAGATGAATTTGGGTGGATAGAAATCACATTAATATGGAGAGGATCCACATCAGCAATTGCTCTTCACAAGAGCCATCTAGTGAAAATCTCTAAAGCACATGTGATTCACCCAACAGGACCACCTCAACTTCTATTCTTCATCATGCACGACCACCAGAAAGCTTCATTCTTGTACGTCATCAAGTTAGCCCCTGGCAGAATTTTCTTTTCTAGCTTTCATTATTGCTTTTCTCTCTCCAGGACGACAAGCATCTGTCCGGGACCCAGCTCGAGGTGGGCAAAGAGACCTTAGAAACACAAACAGCAAGGTTTTAATTCCAGCTGCATCTCTTATCAAACGGTAAGCATGGGAAAAATTACTTATCTGTCCAAATATCAATGTCCTTATCCATAAAATGGGTATAATAACATACATATATACCATACAGTTATATGAAGATCAAATAATGTCTAAAAAATTTCATGCAAAGAAAGGTGCTCCAATGGTAGCTATTAGTAGCTTATGTTGATTCTGACTAGCTTCCATTTCAGTATGCCATGATTTGAATGTTTACTTACCTCCAAAATTCATCTTGAAACTTATTCCCCAATGCAATAGTGTTAAGCAGTGGAGCCTTTAAGAGGTGATTAGCTCAAGAGGGGCATTCACTTATGAATAGGATTTGTTCCCTTATAAAAGAGGTATTGCATAGTGCTCACCCCTTTGCCCTTCTGCTCTTCCACCATATAAGAACATAGCATGCGTCCCAGCTAGAGGATGCAGCAACAGGCACCATCATGGAAACAGAGAGCAAACCCTCACCAGACTCCAAATCTTGGACCTGGCAACCTCTGGAAGTGTGAGAAATAAATTACCCAGTCTGTAGTATTTTGTTATAGCAGCAGGAATGGACTAAGACAATATGTTGTGATATTAACTCAGACCTTGTCTTTTCTCCTCAATACGATGCTAAGAACCCCAAGAGTGAATCAACTGGTTCAAACCAAGCATAACTGCACCGGAGGAGTTGGGCATATTCCCAGCTGACTGCTCGGGAAAGGCATTTGTGTTGTGTGTCACCTGAATGAAGGCTGATTTCTATAGACAGCAGCCAGAGGGGCAAAGAGGGAGGAACAAAGAGGGCAGGGAGGATATCATGGCAAATAAAATGAGATGAACTTCTGGATTCTCTTTTGAAAACTAGACTCTGATGTTGGGGCCAGAAAACACTATTGAGTGTTGATATATGTTCTGTACCTTGCCAGCCTACCAGAATTTTCTTTATCTGCTTTCTTCATCCTCTATGAGGGGAGCTCTATTTTCACTAGCTCAGTTGTGAGGCATGTGTGATGCGTAATCAGGCAGTGTGCACAGAAACACAAACTGAATTCTGGGAAGGCAAAAGAATAGGAGCAGACAGAAAAGAACAGGGAAGGGAGACAGGCTGGGCACTGGGGAGAATATTATTCAGCACTGAGAATTGTAGAAGGGAAGGCATTTGGGGTAAGCAACTGATGACCGCTTTGGAGAATACTGTAAGTGGCAGAGATGATTAAATAACCACAAAGTGGCAAATCTGCCTTGGAATTTAATTTGGAATCAGTTCTGTTGGATCTGGAGTTCATTCTACCAAGCTCCATGCCCTCCTGTAACAGCAAGAGAAAACCAGTGGCTTTTCAAAGAGATGACAAGGGCTGTGGGTTTCAGATCTGCATGGAAGGCATTTTTAGACACACAAGGCCAGGCATGATTGTAGCTGAAAAGGAACAAGGGAGAAAGGAAGCAACTAGAATTGCATTCTTCATAAACATTGCCTTTGGTCTGCTTCACATGGGTGACTAATGAATATGTTGACTATTGCTCAATGAAATATTTATTATGTGTTAATAATTTCAAGACTTCCTGATTTCCTCTGATATGTTAAATTATTGAACATTTGAATTATAGAGCTATCTGAATACAAATCATTATCTCTGAGGATTTGTTCTACAAAATTGCTTCTGTGTACCTGATCTTTGTTATATATAAGCCAGCAATAGATCTGGAATTAACTGAATGTAATATACATAAAAGTCATATAGATACAAATAATTTTTCTGGGATATTACCTTAAGCTTAAGGTATAACCATAACCACAGTCATACATTATCTTTTATATGATAATTATTTGGATTACATAGATTCCTACTGAAGAGAATTTAGATAATACCATAAATATAAATAAGATAAAAATCACCCATAGATCTTACCATTCAGAGATAATTATTATTCATATTTTAAAATATTTTAGCTACTCTTTTTTTGTGCCTATGCAGACAGTTATTATTATATAATTGAAATTATTGTGGCTTTTTACTTTTATATGCTGCTGTTGTTAATTAATACTATATTCTGACAAGTTTAAGATACCAAGAAATGTTCTTTAGAAATGTAATATATAATGGCTATGCTCTATTCTCACATGTCGATTACATCGTAATTTATTTAAACATTCCTTAATGTTGGAGTTTTATGTTGTTTTCATTATTTTCCTATTGTCTAATGTTGTGATAAGTATCTTGATACAGTACTAATATTTGCCTAAATTTTGCTTTTATAACAACTTGTTTGAGATCTAAATCACATACCAAACAACTTACTCACTTAATGTGTACAATTCAATATCTGTTAGTATATCCACAGCCAGGGGCATCTTTTGCCAACATCCATTTTAGAACATTTTCATTATCCCAAAAAGAAACTCCACCCCCTTTAGCCATCAACCCCCAGTTCTTCCATATGCCCCACTGGCACTGTAGACAACCATAAATCTATGTTCTTTCTCTAAAGATTTGCCTATTTTGGACATTTTTTTGTATAATGAACTCATATGATATGTCGTCCTTGTGACAGTCATCTTTCATTTTGCATAATTTCAAGGGTGATCCATGTAGTGTAGTTGAATTTATCCGTACCTCGTTCTCTTATTGCCAAATAGTATCACATGTGTGGTTATACCACATATTACATATCCATTCTTCAGTTGGATATTTGGGTTGTTTCCGTTTTTCAGATATTATGAAATAATGTTTCTATGAACATTCATGTACAAATTAGTATAGACATATGTTTTATTTCTCTTGGGTATATAACTAGAGTGCAAATGCTGGGTCCTGTGGTAACTCCATGTTTAATCATTTTAGGACTTGCCCGACTGTTTTTCAAAGTGTCTGTGCCATTTTATATTCTTGCTAGAAATGTATAAAGGTTTCAATTTCTCTACATCCTCACCATTTGTTATTATCTATTTTTAAAAAATTATAACCATCCATTTGGGTTCGAAGTATCATCTTGTGATTTTGATTTGCATTGTCCTGATGTCTGAATTTCTATTTAATTAAGATACTTTTTGGATATAAAATTACTGAATTAAGAACACAGTTTTTAAAAAGTTAATGTATAGTGCCAAACTGTTTTCACCAATTGTGTGCATTTTACTCTGTGTGGAAGTATGTAGGTCACTTGTTCCATAAGATTTTCATTACAATAAATATTTAAATGGGTATCACATTGACACAGTTTCTTATAAGCCTGGGTCTTTTCATATACATAATGATTATTTATGTAACTCCAGTGAGCTACCCATATTCTTTGTCCATTTTCCTACTGGGTCTCACTTTTTACTTTTTATTAAGTTATATACATTTCTTATATTAATCATAGTTTTCATTAGGAATTTTAGTGTACATTTGTTTTGGAAACTTTTCTTAAAATAGCCTACATTCATCTTGAATAATTTTTGTTAAAAGGGAAAGTTTTTGAGTAAGTCATCACTGTAAGATAACTGAAAAAGTTAATATTTCAGAGTCTTTGTGATAACCAATCAGAACAATCATTTCCAAAGAATTAAAAAAGATTTTGAAAATTTAAAAATTCATATTTGTTTACACAATAGAAAATATTAGGCAAATGGAGACTGAGACTTAGCACTTCGAATATATGAGACACATTCATGCTTATCCCTGAATCTAACTGAAAATTAAAATATACCTTATGTTCAGTGAAATACAGGAAATTAGAATTGGTAATCATTTGGGGGTTGATCCTTTTCATTTAGTTTGTTTGACATTTTAATTACATTTGTGGAAATAACCGGAGTTTAAAAAATATATGTTGTTCAATGTCAATCTCTCAATGTTTACTTATATTTAAAAAACTGTCACAATAAAATCTAGGACTGAGCAGTCTCACTTTTTGGTTTGCAAAATTCTTAAACAGAAATCACTGAAGTATAACAAGCATTCTCTGGCTAATTGTGCTTCCAGAAGGCTAAGTGTGAGAAGTGAGATGTGTGAACACCAAACACCTTTCCCCAGTTCTGCTTAAAAGTCAAAATTGCTCATAAGTTGATTACAAATAGCTCTAGCTTTCCTTTACAACGATCTTTGAACCCCAAGTGCTCACTGTTGAGTAGTTCAGAGTTTATAGTCTTTTGAATTTAAGCACTATCTTTTTAGGCCTAATGAGTCTCCCCTTCTACCCAGAGCTGGTTGGTTACTATGGCTGAAGCCAGAGGCAGCACAGAGTAATGTGGGATGGATGACAGATATCATATTCTTCTCCCTAAACTATGTGCTTCAGTGGCTGAATATTGATCCATCCAAGAGGAGGAAACTGCCTGTATTATGTTTAAATGTACCAGATAAGGAATGGAGAAGAAGGGTATGAGAAAATCTCCTGCGTTAAAGTATGTAAGCACCATTGGTCTGGGGGACACACATTGCGTGATGGGAGTAATTTATCCCTTCTTGTTACTTTTTCTCAACAGCGGCAAGGAAATGTGCCAAGTGTCCCAAGTGTCCCGGTGCTGCTGTCATTAAGAAGGTATTGTAACAAAATGCTAAGGACTAAGATGCAGTCTTAACGGGAGTCTTGGGCCCTATTGTGAATTGAATTGTGTCCTCCAGAAAGATTCCTGGAAGTCCTAATCCCCCAGTACCAGAGAATGAGACCTTATTTGGAAATAGGGTCATTGCAGATGCAATTAACTAAACTGGGATGAGGTTACACTAGAATTGGTTGGGACCTTAATCCAATAAGGCTGGTTTCCTTATAAGAGTGAAACTTAGATACAGATACACACAGAGAGTAGAAGGCCAGAAGACAGAAGCAGAGATTGACGTGAGGCATCTCTTAGCAGAGAATGCTGAAGAACACCAGCCATCACCAGGAGCTACAAGAAAGCCATGGAACAAGGTTTTCTCCAAGTCCTCAGGAGGAACCAACCCTGCTGACACCTTGAGTTCAGACTTCTGGCCTCCAGAGCTGTGAGAGAGCAAGGTTCTGTGTTACAGCTGTCCTTGCAAACCAACACAGGCTCCAAATCTCTAGCCAAACTGCTT